CATGTAAGTCATAAGTAACACATATCATTCTAAAATATATAGTAATATATTTTTTAATTTTTTTTTATAAAAAAAGTAAACTAAATTTAATATAGTTTTCTCATTAATTTTAAAATTTAAGAATAATTTTTTTAACAAGCACCGGTGTAATACACGGGTGTTGTACTAGTATATATTTAAATCCGAATATAATTTTCCCAATTCTATTTCATGATATATCATGTTATATTACATTTAAGTATAAAAAAAATGTAAAAATAGAGACAAAATAAGAGTTTAGAAGACTTGAAAGACAATTTTTATATTATTTAATGACATATATATATATTTAGATCCGAATATAATTTTCCCAATTCTATTTCATGATATATCATGTTATTATATTACATTTAAGTAATAAAAAAAAAAAAATAGAGACAAAATAAGAGTTTAGAAGACCGAACTGCTTCCCTTTTTCTCCGTTTCCTATATCTTCTGCGTACAGTGATAAAAAAGTCGTCTTCATTCAGATTGCAAGTAATAAAATCTTTTATTCATATGAATTTTATTTGCCTTTAATAAAATTATTTGAACCACAGATAGAGAGAGTTTGACGAAGGCGAAGATAGCGTTTCAGGCTTTCAGCCCATTTGAATTGCTTGCTACAACTCTTGTCTTGCTCCATCTGCTGCGTATCGCTATTCATATGCTGCCCTATTTTAACTTTACACAATTTCTTTTCTTCTGAATTTGAATTTCGTTTTTTAACAGTTCAATATCCTGCGTGTTTTCTTTTGCTCTCAAGTGCTTGATTTGGTTAAATTTGAAGAGAATTGCGGTTTTAGATCATTGGGTTTGGGGGTTTAAGAATTCATGGCTTCTTATCATGGGCACGCTCACTCAGAACCAGCAAAAATGGAGCAAATAATTACTGAATTTTTCGCCAAAAGCCTTCACATAATACTGGAGTCCCGGTGCCCCTACGTCTCGTCGCGTAATTACAGTGGGGAGCAAGTTTTGTTCTCTCCCTCCCCATCTTCCTCCTCATCATCCTCCTCGAGTTTTAGGCCTCGGGATAAGTGGTTCAATCTGGCACTCAGGGATTGTCCTGCTGCTTTAGAGAACATAGACTTTTGGCGACAGAGTAATCTGGAACCTATGATAGTTGATGTCATTCTAGCGCAGAGGCCTACTGATTGGGACCCCTTGAATTTTTCCCCAAGAACAGGACATGGACGGTATTCGTCCGGGAAAGACGTGGACTCAGACAACGACGAGTTCTGGCCCGAGGGCAAGAGTGAGAAGATCATCGAGAGGTGGGTTCTGCAGTATGAGAGCAAGAAGGATGGCGGTATTGGGGGCAGCTCGTCCGGTAATAAGAGGTCGAGCTGCCCAAGCTCTCATGCTTTGTACAAGAAGTCGATACTGCTGCTAAGGTCTTTATACGCGACCGTGAGGCTCTTGCCAGCTTACAAGCTTTTTCGTGATCTCATCTCGACTGCTCGAATCCGGCTGTATAATCTAGGCCACCGGGTCTCGTCCTTTGTTGAGCCCTTCACTCGCCGGGAGGAGGCGGACATGCAGCGATTCGTGTTCACCCCGGTTGAGACTTCTTGTGGCAGGCTGTGCCTCTCAGTTCTGTACCGGACCTCGGTGACCGACGTGACTTCTGAGCCCTCCACTCCCATATCTCCTCAGTTCATTCCTGAATACGTAGGGAGTCCCATGGCAGAACCTCTGAGGAGGCTCCCGTCAATCTCTCCATCATCGTCACCGTTCGGCAGGCGGCACAGCTGGAGCTATGGCTTGTGCAAAGCATCACCGCCTTCGGCGAACCCCACGCCTTCCCCCACGCATTCTGAATATCATGTAAAGAAGCACTCACGCAATTGTCCTCGCCCGGGGGCCTTGCCTCGCCTTTCACATGACGAGACACTCGCTGTTCATTTGAAAAAAACGAGTTACGATGAATACTGGCCATCCCCTGTTTTTTCGCCTTCCCCAACTCCATCACCACCTGCACGTGTTCATGATGGTCATTTGTCTAAAGCTCTTTTGCGGTGTGAAAGTGCTCCTGTTAGTATACCTGTGTCTAGGCTTTCTACTGTGCCTTCAATGCCAAGTAAACTATTGATGCCCCCTTCTCCTCCCATGAAAGAAACTCGACTAACTATTTCTAAGAAAGCTATTGATTCTGATAAGGTATGTGTTTCAATCATATTTTTCAATTCATTTCTTGGCTGTGAGAAGTATTTTACTGAGTAGTATTTGTCTGCTGCAGTTCTTTTCTTTTGGCAAGGACGAGCAAGGAAAGATGTTGATGATGAAATCATCATCTAATAGCTCGCCATGCAAATCATTTTCCAGAAGCTCAAGCAGGTTGTCTTTTCAAGACGATTGTAATGACTCAGAGTTTTCTGGACCATTTGTTGTGGATGATGACGACATAGTAGATCCAGGTTCCAGGTAATAAGTATCCTCCATATGAGCTTTTTAATCTTCATTTTACTTCACAGATTGATGGTGCTTAAACGACTTTTAAATGATAGTTGCATGACTTGGTCTGGTTCCATTTTGTTTACCATGATCTATGAACTATGCTAAAAGGTTATGGGAAGGGGCTAGCAAGTCGGTACTCAAGACTTAGCCAATTTCTGGATTTGAAAGTTTTTTGTTCTTGATTAACTGGAAAGACAGCTAACTGCATCTTTGAATGTGACTGCATATGAATTTACATGACACTTCAGTTTTGGTAATTCTTTATGGAACTCTTAAATGGGAGCAAATCAAGTCTGAGAGTCATATATCCAACTCAGTATTCTTTGTGAAGTGTGACCCAAACTTCCATGGTGCTTGGAGAAAGCTGATTGTTGAATTATGTATCGTGCTAGTCCTGTTTGAGAAAACTTTGTAAGCAGTCATCAAAGAGGTAATATATTGATGGTTGTAGAAAGTTACGAGGTTCAATGAACTTATATAGTTTTTGTGGCCAATGCATCAAGATAATGCCTTATGTTGTCTATACATGTCTCCATGTGGATATTTTGCTGCAGTTTCCCTGGTTTATGCATAATCTAGAGTTGTCACGGAAATTAAATAAATTATTTTTTAGTTGCAGTTGTGGCTTAAATAGACAGATTCACGTGAGGTGGTGATGTTGGAATATTATATAATTGCATAGGCTTAAGTATGAACTAGAAGATATTTTTACATTGGGGTTCCATTTATATATGGATATATTTACTTTGCATGCTAATATACGATTCATGAATCACATAATGAAATGCACCTGATTCATTAAAAAAAAAATGGTAATTATGACTGGGATGCCCGATTTTCTGGTGTTTTGATAAATGGGATTTGGTATAACACATCTCCAAAAGCTAACTCAAAGGGAGAGGGTGCTAACCCACACTTATACACTTTGCTAAGCCAAAAGGGTTGAGTCCTAACTCAACGTTGCCTCCAAACTAATAAACCTGTGTTATCTGATACCATTATAAATGGCTTTGCAAAAGCTAGTTCAAAAGGAGAGGGTGCCCAACCTACACTTATACACAATAACAGCCCAATAGCTAATTGATGTTTGACAAACATAACTTCTAACAGTGTTGAATCAAATGACAGAGATTAGGTTTAGTGTCTTTAGAGCATTCAAACAACTTAATTCATCCTTATCTTTTGCTTGCAGTTGTAAGTGGAATTTCTATTAGAAATTCTGAGGAGGAAGAATGAAAAACTCGTCTTGCGACGTTTATCATACTCTTATATTGTTATATCATCAATTTTTGGCCAGTAATCAATTGAAGTTGCTGGCTCTTTCGGATTTTACTACATTGAGAGTACAAAATTATTTAAGTCGTTCTATCGTCAGTGTCTGATTGCATAACTATCACAAAATAGTGTTTCATTAAGTGTGTTGAATTGTTTGTGCTATAATTATTTTATGCAGCAAATGTTTTAGTTATTCATTGATGTCTCCACTAGTTTTCTATTCTGTATCAGCTGACAAATCTGTGTTTTAGCCGGATTGGTTTCTCATAACTCTTATCTCTAAGAAACTAATGTTGATGCTGTCAAGACATTCTAATTTTCTGATGGACAAACCTAACGATTTTGTTGTTTACATAAATTTATGTCCTTTTGTGGGTGTTCCTTCTTTGCAAGTTCTTCCTGCTTGAAATTTCCTCAACATTATCCACAGCCATCTCAAGAACCTTTGGTAATTCATACTCCTTAAACTAAATCATATAAATGTAATTGGGTCAGTGTTATCAATTGGCGGCCATGGCGGTATGGCATGGCGGATTTTTAACAATCCGCTATGCAAAAGGCGGCGCCATAGACCGCCATGGCGGCCGCAATGGCGGAATTTTGGCAAAACACCATGTACAGCCATCCGCCATTAATAACACTGGATTGGATATAGATCTTTATGAAAAGTTTTCTCCATCAGACGAAACAGATGGAAATGTGGGAAAAAAAGTTGGATGAAGAATGAATTACTTTTGGGATTTTGAATGGATATATAAGATAAAAATATTGTTATTAAAATTTATAAGACATAAAAATAGTTAAATAATGATGTATAACGGTATTGATTGGTAGTTAGAAAATATGAGTGGGAATAGTAAATTATGTTGGAAATGTGTTCTAAGATTGATATTTATTTTTAAATTATGCTGGTGAGATATAGGAAAAAGTTAATAATGAATGAATAATGTTTTTTGAATTTTTTTATATCCATTCATAATTTTAGTGAAAAAAAGTTTTGTTTGGTGACACAAAAATAGGAACTTCCTCTATCCAGTCGACCTTAAAAATTATTTTCTTTTAATATTATTTTTTTCCCCATATTTATGTTCTGTAAAGCTTCTGAAAAAGCCATACCTTGCTCTACATTTTCTGCTTTTGATTTATCTTTGGCTGTCATAGTGTGAATAACGGGGTTTGGTTATATATCTTTGGTTTTAGATTAGTCATGCCTTGTTCAATAAACTTTGGCAATTCGTCTTGTTCGGCTTCTGTCTCAATCTTTGACTATTTTGGACCACTTAGTTTTAGTTCAGTCAGTTCTAACCCAGGTGACCTACATGTCTCTTGTCAGTCTGAACCGAATTCACGTCCTTGGGTTTTTTATCTCAAGCATCTCATGATCATCATCATTTCTTTAATCTCTGCTGTCCACCTACGAATATTTGTGTTAGATAACACTGTTGTACGTGTGAATTATAGAATCAGTTAAAATACTATCTGATCTCTCATCATTTCTTGATTCTTTAGTCATTATGTTATACACTAGTACTTTTTGCATGTATTCATTAGTGGGATATCTCGTAGCGTAAAGTAAACTCGTTGCTTGCTTTTATTTTCAAATTTCTCATTCCGCAAGTTAGGGCTCAGGAATGTCATGGGTACATGATGAAGAAGTAACTTCTGTTTCAGAAGTTCAACTCAACACAGTAGAGGAAAAACTTTCCATTTAGCAGTAAGAGCCAATTGCACGTGACACCAGCTTTTGGGCTGTGTTGCTTGAATTCTACCTTGTTTAGTCACCTGAAACTATTGAGATAATGCGAATAATAACATTAATCCCTTGTTATATTCTGAGTTACTTCACGATAGTGCTTTTCTTGTATTCTCCACATTTTTTCCGTTGTAATAAACCATTCTGTCATTTAACTGATGTACTTAACTGTGGTATTTTCTTGGTACTAAGAGATTCGATCACAGTGTCCTAAGAGCTATTGACATCTTTGTTTTTCGTAAGTACGGTTTTTTTGACCTTCTTTGTAAAGTTTATGGTTTTACATCTTCTTTGTTTGTGGTATCAATGTTCTATGTTTAAAAGAAAGGATGTATAATATAAGGTGCTTGACCCAATTGATTCTTCTATCCAGTGCAATTGTGTCTGCTGCCTAAGTTTTCATGGTATGCTGGGGATCCGGTTAGAATAACTACTTGAGTTAAAGCTGATTGGTCTTGCATGGGGCCTCCTCAATCTGTTTTCTTTTTTCCTTTTTTTTTCTTTGCTTAGGGAAGTATGTTTGTAATGTTGCACTGCTGGTAGTATGCATTCGTCATTCTTTTATAGAAGTCGAACATCTCTTCTTATAAGAAACATCATTTCGCCTTAATAATTCAAAACATTCATCGGGAACTTATATATATGTCGTGGGATGGCGCTGCAACAGACCAATTTTGTTCAATCCGTGCGAGCCCCACGAGCCTAGGGGAGTTAAGAAATCACAAGATGCTGCTGCAGTTGGTGCCCTTGTTCGTATGCTGAAGAAAGCACCGCCCCTTCGCCAAGACATGTCCCTCACCATGCAGAATCATCTTCAGAATGATAACAATAGTGCTGGCAACAAGAATTCAAGTTCAACCTTTTCGAATCTTGCATCCTCAGGGCTTGTTGCGTCCAAGACTACAGCTGATGCATTGGATGAGCTTCGTGGGTACAGGGAGATCAAAGACTTGCTGTTGAAGCATGGGAAAATTTCTCAGCCCTAGTTGATTTTCCTGCTTTGAAGAGTTCTCTTTTATTTTATTTTATTTTATTTTTCTGATAAGGATGAATGAGGCTTTGCATTGCCATATGCAGTAGCATTTTGTTTGCAGTGTTGAAGGGTTCTGTCCTATTAGAATTTTTACTTCGTGATGTCGGTGGTAACATGTACAACCGATTTCTTTCTGTACATAGCTTTTGAGCGTCTACATTATGATTTTGAAGTGAGCCTGTTTGGGATTGGATCCGACCGATATTGCTATGATCAAAAGGTTGGTAATACTTGACTGTACACATTGTATATATTGTATACAATTGAATATAACTGATAATATGCCTGATATGATCTCTATCATTTGTATGAAGGCCATTGCGAGTTGAATTATGTGATTTTTATACCATTTTTTGGGAACATAAAAGTGTGTGTACCGAAGACCAAATCCTTGTCCTTGGTACCCTTTCCTTCTTCTTTTCCTACGCTAATATGGACCATTGTTCGCTTTATCAGTTGGTAAAAAGGAATAATAATGATATTAATTGGTTTTGGGAATGTCTTCCTGGTAATATGATTACCAGTTAAAGAAATAAAAGTGTATTATAACTATAAGTCTAATACATCCAACGGTAAAAATGTAGTGAAGAATATATACTAATATTATACATCCAACAGTAAAAAAGTAAATAAAATTATACTAATAAAGGGTATATTAGACATTTTAACTTTTCACATATATCCATCAATCACATGGCAGAATTCTCTCTCTCTCTCTCTCTCTCTCTCTCTCTCTCTCTCTCTCTCTCTC